GGGGAGGGTGTGGCCTGCTGCTGTTTTTCGCAAACAAACTCGCGGAAGGAAACCTCTCGGCGACGGCTGTAAACGACCTAGTTTACGCGCCAGGGGGGCGAGGAGGTCGGCGTGCACGGGCGCGAGGCGCGAGGCTGTTTACATCGCGTCGAGGCCGGCGAGTTCGGATTTTAAGTTGGGGGGATCCTCCACTTTTCCCCTCATTCCTTTATGAAGGTGAATGACGGGGACCTATCGCGGAATGAACTGGAAAGTAGTTGTTGTGCGTCCTGTGTGACTCGATGAGGTTTGCGTGCGTGCGTGCGTGCGTTTGCAGGCTGGCAGGTAGGGCTTCTCTTGGCTAACCTGACCTGGTGCCAGGGAGCGCCGTGGGGTAGGCCGCCCGCTCGCCCCACGAGTCTCGCCGGCCCAATGTTGCCTACCCACCAGGCGCTCCCTCACTGTCAGCAGCAGCAGACACGATGCGCTAGCGGGATGACCAACTACTCGCACTTCACCGAGAAGAGAGAGAACACAAAAGACAAATGCACTCACTCTAGCTTTCGGCTTTCGCTCGGCAGGACGGACAGGTTTATCCGAGCACTGCTGCCGCCGCCGCCGGCTTGTTTACGAAAAACAAAGTGACCGTGAGAACGTTTTTGTGCAAAGCTTTCAGCCAAAGAGCGAGGGTGGAAAAGTTTTACGACCCGCCGAGACCGGCGCCTGCCGGCTGCCCGGGGGGGAGGAGAAGTTGTGATGGCGGCGGTGGTGAACGTCAGCTGCAGTCGTCGCTGCAGCAGCACGTCTCGTCCGCGGCCCGCGTGGCCTCGGGTCGGGCCGCACCACCGAGCAGCGTGAGGGACGCGGGTGTCTGGGAGGCGCCGTCGTCACCCGCCCCTGCTGTGCACGTTTCGGACATTCCCGAGTTGTACCCGCGCCTCGCTCTCACGGTCGACCTCCTACTCGGGGTGGTTCACCCCCGTGGCCCCGGCCCGCACCCGTGCACACGTACCCGCGCGCGCGCTAACAGGCCTCCCACTTGACACCCGGCCCAGCCCGTGCGGCTTGGAGCCTCACACCTCACACCCAACACCTCACACACCACGGTGCACCACGGTCGCACTGCACCCGCCGCCGTCCTCGTGCGACCCGAAGCTCCCCGCCCGCCCCATCCCGACGTCAAATCGTTTTCAATTTCAGACTGGGCAGCGCGAAACGTCTCGTCGATGCGGGCGACAGTCTATGCGACTTGACTGGAATATCGGCCGGTACAGTCCGCGCCAGGGAGAGCGCCCGAGCGCCCTTGGGTCCGGGTGGGAGAGCCGCGCCTGCTGCCGGACCAATGGCCGCCCGCCTCCCGGTGGGAGTGTCCGCCCCGCCGCGCCTGCTCCGCGTAGCCAGCTGGCCGCGATATTCTGCTGCCGCTGCTGCTGCTGCCGCTGATACCTACCACTGCCAACTTCAACTTATTGCCAACAGAAAAGAAAGTGGCGACCGATACACTTGAGCGGCTTTGATCCGGTGGAGAAACGGCGCCGGCCGGCCAGGGGGCGGTCGACCGCGCTTTATTCCGCTTCATACGCCATCGTGTAAGCAGCGGCCGCGTTTCGCTGGAGCATTTGCTCTCTGGAGCTGGACACTGTGCCATCTGCCCTTTTACACACCATCTTTGTTGGGTTCACGTGCGGCAACAGCTAACTGTTCTTCGACACGGTGGTGCTAGTAGTAATTGACGAGATGTTTGCCGTGTGCCCGCCTCGTGGTGAGCCGCCCCCGCCACGCCCCAGCGACTTGTTTGTTTCGCGAGAGGATCATACACGTGGCTGGTCGTGGCGGGGAGGGGTGGGGTGATACAGTATCTCGCTCAACCCATCCAATAAAACACGTCTACATTCCAGCAGAAAGAAAGGTGTTAGACGTTGTGATCCATGTCATTCGAGGCGTTCTCGGCCGTGATTCCAGTGGGAGTATTTGGTGTTTCAGGAATCAGGGTGCCGGTGGTACGCGCTGGGCCCCGGGTAGTTCAGAGGGATCACCACGACGTTCCCGACGTCCACGTGTGACCCCAGCGCCCCCCACTGGCGCCGTCCGTCCGGTCCGCGGGTGGGTCGCAGTTGTTTGATTTACAATCCGCGAATACTGATTCCCCTGTCACGGGCGCTGACTGCGTGTACAACAAACTGTATTTTATTGCTCTCCCTTCTGCTGCCGAACAGAACTTCGCTTTACTGGCGACGCCCGATGCCCCCGACGACGCTGGCGACGTTCTTTGACCCTGCAGAGCCCGCGACTCAAGCATGTGAATAATGCAGCCTAGCCGGGTCCAGACGGCCGTTGGCCCGAACAGAAGGCGCCCGGGTCGATGGTGGCTGCGGCTTAGGATTCTCGAGTCAGAATTTTTTCAAAAAAAAATTAAAACTTTTTCAGCATTTTATTTTGGAAATTAATGAACTATTTTGCAAATGAATTTGGTAAAATTTACCCCGAATTTTAAAAAAAGAATTTGCAAATACTTTTTGTAAAATTTAAATTTCTCGTGATGCCGCGCAACCTCTTTCAGCTCCGCCCACGCGAAGAAACGCGAAGCCTCGTTTTATTAGAAATTGCAGCGGAAAAGGGCACAAAGACACGCCACCTAACCGCGTCGTCATTTTCCTCTATGTATTTTATTTCCCTTTTCCCCCTCTCTCCTTTCTGCGCGTTTTCTTTGAAACGAGAGTTATTTGTGCGATGATGGTCACCGTCTCCATCTCATCTCGTCCCCGCCCCGACCTCTCTGGTGGGGGGTTGTCGAACTGGAGCCGCAGAGTCAGTCACCCGGAGCGAGAGTGCCCGCTCGATAAGGGATGCTACAGCTACAACACTTCCATGGGCCGGCGGTGTGTGACCGACAGCAACACGGAGCCATTTTCTCGAAGGTATGGTCGTTCTGAAAGCTAGGCGCGCAAAGAGAGCGTTTTGCAAACACAGGAAATGAAAAGTTTGCTTGCAGACCCCTGACTTTGATTTGGTAGACTGTTCTGCAACACACGGGTTCGGGAGGGCTGCCTACTCACGAGCCCACAAGGCGCGAGTGACGGGCGACGGCAGACTACGATGTACCGCTATTACTACAGGCAGGTCCGGCAGCTGGTCTCCCTGCACAGGATTACGTTTCATTATAACGTCATAGTGTAAGGTGGCCTGGCGTCTTCAGCGTTGACCGACCAGGACTTGTTGTTTTCCCACTCGTCCGCCGAACCGCACGCTGTTCAATGCGCTAAGACGGTTGTTTGTTCGGGTCCACAACACCCGCTCGCACCACAGGCCACAGCTACCGCGCTCGGCAGCAGGTTGCTTCTTTATCGCTTGCTCTTTCTCTCTCTCCCTCTCTGTCTCTCTCTCTCTCTCTCGCTCTCTCTGCCACTTAGGACCGGCGGCGTGGCCTTGGTTAGCGCAGAGCTACGCGCGTCCGCACGCGCCTGCGATCGCCCCGGCCGCGCAAACACCCGCTTCAGGCGGAGAGACTTTTCGTTACAAAGTTTGTCATTTAGGAGATAGATAGATTGGCATCGATAAACGTATCAAATTCCTATCGATTATTCCACAGGCAGGGCAGGAAGAGCGAGGAGGATCTTCACTGTCGTCGTCAACGTGGACAAACTCGAGACCGCTTCATCTTCATTTTATGGCGCCTGTCGCATTGTCCGCGTCTCTACAACACGTTCAAAACAACAAAATAAACAACGCCTGTAATGAAAAATATTACTTTTTCAAATGTGAGAAGCAGGGGGGGGGGGGGTTGCACGTGGAACAAGCTTGTTTGGTGGATTATTGAACGGCCATTTGAACCACCGATACTGGCACTGGGGACGCCGCTCCTTGTGTCGTGCTCGCTGTGACTAGGCTCTGACTCACGGTGCCGGCCGGTCGACCGGCAAGCGTGAGAACCTCCCCCCCCCCCTTTCCCCCCGGTTCGACTCGACCCTAACCTTCACCTGCCCACGCATCACATCACATTCGTAAAGTACATCGACAGCGTCTACCGCAAGAACAGAAAATTGTCTGCTGTTGCTAAGTCCATATTTTTGACCACCCTTCGCCGCCCCGACGGTCGTCGACGGAATCCTCGCGCACTTGTGCATCACGCGCACCATGCGTGACTGCCGGTCGTTTTTCGTGTATCCTTTCAAACCTTGGACTTTCTTGTCCTATCGGCGTCCTCATCCTGCCTCGCCCCCTCCCGCTGCCTGGGTCGCCCACCTGCCACTACTCGTCTCTCACTCTCTGAGAGGACACGCTCTTAACGCAATCGGTTTAATGTACCTTTCGACTCCTTGGCCGATCGCTTGCAGTTGGTGACTCGACCGTCAGCCGATACCCGGCCGATAGTCAATTCGGCTCGGTTTCGGGCCTCAAACTGCGTCGGGTCTTTGCTTCGCGCCACTCGCCGGTGGATGGAGGAGACTCCATCGACGCCCACCAGCCCACGCCACGAGGACTAGTGCAAAACAGACGGGGGAAGGGGAGAGGATCCTGTTTGTTTGCGATTCTCTCCAGCACGTCGGAGGGGGCCGGTGGGCGGGGGGCATTTCGCGCGCGCTTCAAAACAACAACAGCTGGGCTGGGCCTGGTCTGGCCTGGCGGTTGTTGACAGGACTGAAAAGCTATTGAGCATCATAGAACAGTACAGTGGTGACGAGTGGACAAAGTGGGGGCAAAGGTATTCGTGAAACGAAGAGTGCGCGTGTGTATTACTGTAAAAATAAAGTTGTAAAGTAGCAGCAAATTTCTTGTTAATTTTTAATATGGATAATATTGTTTATGTAATGATCTTGTTGGTTGTGTTACAAAAATTATTGTAAAATCACAACATTTTATTTTTATTTATTTTTTTGCTCAAGAACCAACAACTGTTTATTCGGCAGAATGTATTGTTTAGTAAAGGTGGATTCAGAGTTCCCTAAAAGCGACAGTGATTCTCACGCAAAGCGTGATTTTCACGCCCGGCGTGATGAAAGTCGATCCCTGATTGGCTGCGTGAAGCTTAGGAAGCGTGAAAATCACGCCTGGCGTGAAAATAACGCCTGCGTTTCGTGAACTCTGAATCCACACTAATGCATTTTGTGGTCATATAACAAGAAGTTTTCCATTTTATCGAAAGTAACTATGTTGTTTGTGAAAACCTGTGTCATCTCGAGAATGTTTCAACAAATATTTGCTATAGCTGTTACTTTTCTGAAACAATGTCCCAATAACGTGAAGCATGAAAAAGAGATATAATAATAAAGATGCTCATGAGCGACACTGACGTTCAGTGGGGAGAATAGGCGTCGTCAGTGAGTCAGTCAATCACTAGGTTCGCACAGTTGCCACGCCGCGCCGAGCCTCGCCTCTGTCCCGCGCGGCCCAAGGACACCCATTGGGAGCGGGGAACGGGCCCGGTAGCGGCAGTGGCGCTCCCAACACCAGACCAGCGGGATCCGGCCGGGGAATTTTTATTTTCCAAAATGGTATTTTGGAGGAATTTTGAAAAAGTACAAAAATTATTTTCTCTGAATGTTTTCCCAAACAAATTTTTCTTTTCTAATTCTCATGAAATTATTTCAATGTTTTCCATTTTTCCTCTTGAACGTTTCCAATTTTTACGGAAAAATTAGGGACAAATCGCTAAGACGGCTACCAAGGATGGCGGCTGGCCGGGCCCCGATTCGTCCTCAAAAAATGAGGCGGAAGTTAGAACGCTCATCTTCAAAGTGGCCCAAAACCCCCTCTTCGCGGCTTTCCGCGCGTGCCCTCATCTTCCGCCTCGAACGAACAGCTCGGTCACTCAGTCGGGCTCACCTCGCGCACCACCGCGCCGCGGGAGTTGCAGCCTCACTTATTAGCGCCCCGCCGGGGTGCTGCCCGGGGGGCCACGCGCCGCACAGCTGGCAGGGCGGGGCGGCCGGGGGGCGGCACACACCGCCAGAGTGAGCGCCGCGTGCCCAGCCCAGTGGCCACCACGGGTCGCGTCAGCTCTGGTTGCTTGCAGTAATTAAATTGAAACAAGTATCTTTTGCGGAGGGAGGGAAGGAGGGAGCGGAGCGAGGGAGGGAGGGAGGGAGGGAGGGAGGGAGGGGTGGCAAAGTCATATCCAGGGTACTTTCTGTACTTTTCCACCCATTGTCGCCTAAAATGTATCCCTGATGAACAGCTCATCACTATAATCGCCAAGCACTCACGGCGCTCGGCCGCACCGCCTCTCGGCCCCCGTGCCGCGCGCTTCAAATCCCTCCCTCCTCTCCCTCGATCGTCCGATGGCACCACCAGGTCTCCGCAGCAACCCGGACGACCGCGACCGCGCGAGCAGCCCGTCGAGGCGTGCACGGCGGCCACTCATGGGCGTTAGGCGCGGGCGCGAGGATGGCTCCCAAAAATACTGCGGCCGGGGAGCGGGGCGGGGCGGGCATGGCCTGGCCACAGTGTACCCGGCTGCCATGGGGTCGGGCGTGAGGCGTATCGGCATGACCCATCCCATGAGCTGGCCGCTCGCCATGGAAACCAGTCTCACGCACAGCGGCGTGGCTGCGTGGGGCCCGTGGGGCGCGGCGGGGCGGCGGGGAGGGCCGGTGGGGCGGGTGAAGCTGGTGGGGGATTCCTTCCGGCCTGCGACCTGCAGTACACCAGGGGCGCGGCGTGGGTTGGCAGGGCGCCCAGCTCGAGGGGGTGAGGGTGAGGAGGTCGGGTTGTGGAAGGGGTGACCACGCGCCGCCCGCGTGTCTGCGAGCCCCCCACTTCCCCCCACTCCTCTCCACCCACCCCCGTTGCTCCGACCGCCCCCTCCCCGGCCGCGCCACTGCGCCCCCCTTCTCCTAGCCCAGGGCCTACCTCACTCGCTCAGCGGCAGGCAGCAGCGGAGCGAGGCCGCGCCCCTGCCCAGCCCAGCAACGGAAGCGAGGAATGCAGAAAACAGGACAGACTCGACCACTTTTAACACTGCTTGCAGCTCGGAGAGGTCTCGCTCTGTCGGCAGGCTAGCAGTCTGATATCCCACACAATGGCTTGTCTTCTCCTCCAGCTAACTCTAGTCACCGATGAGTGCGACAAGAACGGATATGTACTAAAGCTCTGTGCGGAGCCACCGTAGTAGCAAGCCCTTGGTCACCCCCCCCCCCCCCCCGACGTGCAGGGTCGAGCCACGCCGCGAGTCACGCCGCCAGCGGCCGCCGATCCGCCTGACCGACACGGGGCGAAACGGCCGCCGCATGACCGGTGTCCGAGTCCAAAAAGGAGAAAACTCTGCTTGGTCGAGAAGGAGCAGCAACCACTGCAAACGACATCACGGCTGAGGTCATACCGCTGCAGCAGACACGTCTGACAGCAATCGCGGGCGAAATCTCCAATTGGTCGCCGACCGGCGGGCTGTCGGGCGGCGAGGGCTCCGGGTCGGCCGTTTGTGGGGTCAGGGGTGCTTCGCGGTGCTATGGGCGCGGCCGCGGGGGCCACAGC